GACATGAATATATACGGGTAGACACATATTGCAGATAGATTGAGACTAGTTTAATGACGCATGAAGACATGAATAGATAGACACACGGTTGAAGACAGATTGAGACTAGTTTAATTACGGGGGGAGACATGAATATATACGGGTAGACACATATTGCAGATAGATTGAGACTAGTTTAATGACGCATGAAGACATGAATAGATAGACACACGGTTGAAGACAGATTGAGACTAGTTTAATGGCGGGGGGAGACATGAATATATACGGGTAGACACATATTGCAGATAGATTGAGACTAGTTTAATGACGCATGAAGACATGAATAGATAGACACACAGTTGAAGACAGATTGAGACTAGTTTAATGGCGGGTGGAGACATGAATATATACGGGTAGACACATATTGCAGATAGATTGAGACTAGTTTAATGACGCATGAAGACATGAATAGATAGACATACGGTTGAAGACAGATTGAGACTAGTTTAATGGCGGGGAGACATGATGGAGACTAGTTTATATACGAAGACATGTAGATAGACATATTGCAGATACAGATTGAGACTAGTTTAATGGCGGGGAGACATGAATATATACGGGTAGACACATATTGCAGATAGATTGAGACTAGTTTAATGACGACATGAAGACATGAATAGCATAGTTGAAGAGATTGAGACTAGTTTAATTACGGGGGAGACATGAATAGATAGACACACACTAGATTTAATGACACATGAAGACATGAATAGATATTGAAGACAGATTGAGACTCGTTTAATGACGATGTGTGGAGACATGAATATATACGGATAGAGACACATGTTGCAGATAGACTGCAGAGATTTCTAACAAGTTTAATGACGGTTGTAGACATGAATAGATAGACATACGGTTGAAGACAGATTGAGACTAGTTTAATGACGCATGAAGACATGAATAGATAGACACACGGTTGAAGACAGATTGAGACTAGTTTACTGACGTGTAGAGACATGAATATATACGGATAGACACATGTTGCAGATAGACTGAGACAAGTTTAATGACGGTTGTAGACATGAATAGATAGACACACGGTTGAAGACAGATTGAGACTAGTTTAATGGCGGGGGGAGACATGAATATATACGGGTAGACACATATTGCAGATAGATTGAGACTAGTTTAATGGCGGGGGGAGACATGAATATATACGGGTAGACACATATTGCAGATAGATTGAGACTAGTTTAATGACGCATGAAGACATGAATAGATAGACACACGGTTGAAGACAGATTGAGACTAGTTTACTGACGTGTGGAGACATGAATATATACGGGTAGACACATATTGCAGATAGATTGAGACAAGTTTAATGACGCATGAAGACATGAATAGATAGACACACGGTTGAAGACAGATTGAGACTAGTTTAATGACGGGGGGAGACATGAATATATACGGGTAGACACATATTGCAGATAGATTGAGACTAGTTTAATGGCGGGGGGAGACATGAATATATACGGGTAGACACATATTGCAGATAGATTGAGACTAGTTTAATGACGCATGAAGACATGAATAGATAGACACACGGTTGAAGACAGATTGAGACTAGTTTAATGGCGGGGGGAGACATGAATATATACGGGTAGACACATATTGCAGATAGATTGAGACAAGTTTAATGACGCATGAAGACATGAATAGATATGAACACACGGTTGAAGACAGACTGAAACTAGTTTAATGGCGGGGAGACATGAATATATACGGGTAGACACATATTGCAGATAGATTGAGACAAGTTTAATGACGCATGAAGACATGAATAATAGACATACGGTTGAAGACAGATTGAGACAGATTTAATACTGACGAGAGACATGAATATATACGGATAGACACATGTTGCAGATAGACTGAGACAAGTTTAATGACGGTTGTAGACATGAATAGATAGACACACGGTTGAAGACAGATTGAGACTAGTTTAATGGCGGGTGGACACATGAATATATACGGGTAGACACATATTGCAGATAGACTGAGACTAGTTTAATGACGGTTGACATACGGTTGAAGACAGATTGAGACATGAATAGATAGACATACGGTTGAAGACAGATTGAGACTAGTTTAATGACATGAATATATACGGGAAGACATGAATAGATAGTTTAATGGCGGGGGGAGACATGAATAGATAGAAATACGGTTGAAGACAGATTGAGACTAGTTTAATGGCGGGGGGAGACATGAATATATACGGGTAGACACACGGTTGAAGATAGATTGAGACTAGTTTAAAGGCGGTTGAAGACATGAATAGATAGACACACGGTTGAAGACAGATTGAGACTCGTTTAATGACGCATGGAGACATGAATAGACTTCTAGTAACTCTGAATGCACATTTTGCCAGTGCACCGACTGACATACCTGATGCACCTGTGTGTCAGCTCGGTGTACACGCATGTACATGCATATAATGAAGATACGGTAGTCAATTACCACAGCTTGTATCGATTGACACAAACCTGTTACACGGACAGTTAAATATCTGTGCAGATATAAGTGTAATGAATCTGCACGATGGTAAATGTAATATTAACCCTGGTTCAAAGTAAGAACTATGCACTTTATGTCATTTTTGTTGTTTTTTTTCCGAAGGTAAAAATATATTGCTTGTGGATTGTGGGGAATAGTGGGCTACTGTTAAATATCTAAAACGAGTGAGTGAGTGAGTGAGTGAGTGAGTGAGTGAGTGAGTGAGTGAGTGAGTGAGTGAGTGAGTGAGTGAGTGAGTGAGTGAGTGAGTGAGTGAGTGAGTGAGTGAGTGAGTGAGTGAGTGAGTGAGTGAGTGAGTGAGTGAGTGAGTGTCAACGTCACGTGGGAAGTGATGCAGGTCTCAGACATTTACCGTTTAGGTGAACATGCACAGTGACTGAGATTGTGTTTCTTGGTTTATCAACATCATACCAATGTTCGTTGGATCCACCACAGTGCTAAACGTCTGAAACTGGTATCACTTCGGGCCTTCCCCCCACATAAAACATACACATCGTAATATAACCATTTTCCCTTCGCACTCAATGAAACATGACTAGGCTTTCTTAAGTCTGAATCTCCCAATATCACTCGGTCTCCTTTTTCAATTTAGATAGAGCTCTTTATTTCTATGTTACATATTTTCAGAGACTCGTGGTTAGTCTTAACTGGAAAACCGTTCAAAGGCACGTTAACTCACTCACTCACGCATGTCCTTCAGGTAACCTTTTGCATATCAAGTTTCTCGGTCGTTTAAATTCCTCTTTCTTTGTGAGAGCCACAAAGCTGTTGAATTATTTGATAGCTTCGTGAACGCTTTCCAGCTTGTGAATAGTATTATTTTGTTACAAATATGACTGCGGTAATATTGATTACCTGGTGTTCATTAAATATTTCAGTACTGAGTTCAAGGTAACTGACGGACGTTCAGTATACTCTCAACACAAATTGTGACTGCATCCTAACACATCGTTCCTTACACAGTCTCTATATTCACTTCCAAATTAATTGATCTCGCTGACGGTATGTAATTTTAGCCAAGCGATCAAGGTACGCATTTCAAGGTTGTATTTCATTCAAAACGGTTGCACTTTCAAGACTCTGAAATTATGGTTACCTGATAAAGGGTTTTCGAATGTAAGTATTTCACAGGAAGCACTCGAGACACTGGATCGGTGGTTTTCTCACATGTAATTTACACCTTGTTTCTAATTTCATCATTGACACAAGGGCTCGTCCTTTGAATATTTGAATACATTACCTGTTGACAAAAAGGTGTTAAATAACATTTAATTACAGTTAATGCCATCTCTGACGATATTCGCACAGTTATTGAATTAAGATTCATTGAAATGTAAACTTATGTATCTTGAATTCCTAGAACAATTTAATTGTAAAAATGTTGACATTTGCATATGAAAAAATTGAATTACATGCCTTGATTTTAAAAAAAGATCACTATAATGTGTTTTAATCATTAAATAATTATTGTGAATGGTAATATTAATTAAATATGCAATAATGCAAATAATCAACATCCTGACCAAGAGTGTAATAGATCCAATTACAATCTGCAACTACCGAGGTGCCCATACGTCATGCTTAAGACGCACGTTACCATAAACGTCATGCTTAAGACGCACGTTACCATAAACATGACACGTGCTGTCTAAATATAGCGAAATCTCATATCACTTCTTTTTCTTCTTCCTCTACTTCTTCCGGGGTGGGGGTGGGGGGGTGGGGGTGGTGTTAGCCTAGTGGTTAAAGCATTCGCTCGTCACGCCGAAGACCCGGGTTCGATTCCCCTTATGGGAACGACGCGTGAAGTCAATTTCTGGTGTCCCCACTGTTATATTGCTGGGATACTGCTAAAAGCGGCGTAAAACTAAACTCACTCACTCTTCTTTTTCTTGTGCTGCTGCCGCTTATTCTTCGCCGTCGTTGTTTTGTTGTTGTTGTTGCTGCTGCTGCTTTTTGTGTATATTTTATTATCATTGTTATCTACATATTAAAATAGAAGAAGGCAGCAAAGAGGATCAGTGGGTTTCTGGCACTGCCAGGCTGGTTGGGCTTGTCATCAGCTGTCGTTATCATTATCATCCAGCCATATAGCTGGAATATTGCTGAGTGAGACGTTAAACAACACATATCATTATCATCACAAATATTTTCCATCAAACTTAACTCATGCCCAGTTGTAACGAAATCCATCATGTTTATCTGAAATCAGAATATCCAGAAACGTAGTTGATCAAAAAATACGTTCACGAAATGATCTTTAGCGTTGCACGATAGCCTTAAACAGACACGGGGGAGGAAATCGAGACACGCCGGTATGTCGGTAGCGCGCCCGAGTTCGGAAAGCCTTTCGTAGAGCGATCAATTAGAGCAGTTGGCAGAACCTCAACGGCAGTTTTACATTGAGATAGTCAGCGGCCACGGAAATACAACACGAAGTAATTGATTTGATAAGCTTCAGAGTCCCGCTATGGTCTCTCTCCCGTACGTCGGACCTTCGGCGTCCTCGGTGACAACACACAACGACTACTTCAGCGGACGTAGCTAACTGGGATTGCTTAGGTGAGACCTTTGACTGATTAAAAGTCGTCATTGTAAATTGTAGAGTTGAAAATGAGTTACCAGCTCATTGTATATTTGGTTTAATGTAACATCTGCCACCATATTTAATGGGAAATACATTCGGTTTATGACATTAGCGTCAGCACAATTGATTGGGTAATTGTGACGAAGAGTCGAATTACGTCCATTCTGACTTTTACGTTGATTTTTGGTGTTAGGATTATATATTTTTATATTGTGTGAGGGAGAATTTGTGTATAAAATGTTAATGGTTTGTTTTATGACAGCATGTTGCATATGTATATTTTGACCTGAGGGGAAAAACGGAGACAGGCACTTATGACTTTAGTGCGATTTCCCCGAGGCTGTCGTTTGATAGGTTCAAGGGTATATGATTTTTGTTGAACACGAACGTAGAAGGCAAGTTTATCGTGTTTGTGCCTGAGGTTACAAGATTAATGTGTCGTTGCCTTGCATGAGATTGTAAAGTGACTTTAACGGGATCTTACATGAGATTGTAAGGACGCTTTATCTTTGTTTCACTTGGGATTGTAAGGGCACTTTATCGTTGTCTTACATGAGATTGTCATTACACTTTATCGTTGTGTTTCATGAGACTGGAAGTACACTTTATCATTGTCATACATGAGATTGTAGGGACACTTTATTGTTGACATACATGAGATTGTAGGGACACTTTATTGTTGTCATACATGGGATTGTAGGGACACTTTATTGTTGTCATACATGGGATTGTAGGGACACTTTATTGTTGTCATACATGGGATCGTAAGTACACTTTGTCGTTGTCTTGCATGAGACTGGAAGTACACTTTGTCGTTGTCATACATGAGACTGGAAGTACACTTTATCGCTGTCATACATGAGATTACAAGGTTACTAATAGTCATAGTGAGGTTGCTAGGGTACCTGGGGATGTCATACCTTTCCCATTGTTCTTCCCTTGATTGCAAGGCCACGTTTTCATGGTGTAATATTTATTCAAATTCGGTATGAAAGTATACATATTCCGGTCCATGCGACTCTACGGTATGTATCACACAACGATATTGCAATATAAACTGACTTATAAAAGAAACTATACATAGAACAACGTTTTCTACATTTGTTTCTACTTTGTAGATTATAAATGTCATGTTGCTTACATGTGCTGTCACCAAAACGCAAATGTTTCCAATTAGAGTCTGAATAACCACTCAAAACGTGTGCCTTTTACCACAGTGACGTTTGCTCAAATTGCACGAAATGCACGTTCTAGAAACTGAAACTGCCCGTTAAACGAAAGCATTAAGAACAAATATCTCGCATCTCAGCAGTGTACAGAGACGTCAAATTGCATGAACAATCGGTTGTACCCGGGCTTGCAAAACCAGATTGATGGAACGTTGACTGCAGACACGGCTGTCAACGCAAAGGCTTAGTGATAGAGGACCGCGTTATATGGCTATTCGGGCCGTCAGTTGCGCCTTCTCCATCTCCAAAACAACGACATCTGCATAGATGGCAGTCGGCGTTGTGTCAGTCGATTGACAGTGACCAGACGATTGAGGGAACATTGTATCCGATTAAGTGAGGTGTTGTTGCGGTAACAGCACTAACGAGAGATATTGAGATTGGCCAGCAGGGTATGCCGTTTGCAAGTGCAGGACCCGGTACGAGTTCTATTCTCTTATGAATGACAGCAAGTTTTGCCGTAATGTGTCCAGGGTGTAACATTTAAGCATGTATATTTGCGATTACACTTTCTGAGTAATGAACAGATTCCTAGTGTCTTAGGGGCTTTAGTCCCATTCAGGTTTCGAGCCCACTCTTTTAAAATAATGCACAAAGTCAGCGACCTCACCCACTCACCCACCCTAGCTTTGACTAAAATGGAAGATTGACAACTGGTAGTCTAGATCACGTGCTATGAGTACCCCTCTGACAAGCATAAATTGGCTTCCATCGCAGAAAGCTATATTTGGGACTATATACGCGGAGTAAACAACATGTTCTAATACTTTTGGGGGGGTTCATTCCATCCTGGATTCAAAAATAGAGTGAGGCACCATATCGCTAGCACACAAAGTCAGCATCTATTCCACTCAACCGCTGCGGATTCCCCACAGTTCAATAATGTGTAGTGTATCCACAAAGTGTAATCCCAAATGTAACATGTCCTACATTTGACCACTTTCTAAAAGGTTTTATGTGTCCAAGATGTTCAAGTATATGGCGAGGATGGTATGGGGAGAATATGTGGGGTTTGAAGACACAGCAGGATGTCATTCAAGGCAACCTTAATGCACAAAGGTATCGGGATCAAGTTCATGAATTTAGCATCACGGTTTAGTCTTCCAACAAGGCAACCTTAGAGTTCCAGGCTGACGCAGTACTTCCTCAATGAAATTATCATTCCTTCGTGGGATCATCTTGGCAGGTAAATCAGGCGACAAGCTCCACCAGTCAGCCAGGACATGATGGTCTCTTTACTAATTCCTGCTAACGTCATCCTGTATTTGACGTCGTCTATGCAGTGACGTCTTGCAGTGTCCACTGAAGCACGAGTGAGTGAATGAGTTAGGACACCAGAAAACGGCTCCACACATTGTACCCATGTGGGGAATCGAACCCGGGCCTTCGGCGTGACTAGCGAACGCTTTAAGCACTAGGCTACCCCGCCGCTCCCTAAAGCACGAGCTTGACATATTTGGTACTTAGCCAGTGCGGTGGGGTAGCCTAATGGTTAAAGCGTACGCTCGTCACGCCGAAGTCCCGGGTTCGATTCACCACATGGGTCCAATGTGTGAAACAAAGGTTTCTGGTGTCCCCGCATTGATAATGCTGGAGTACTGCTGAACTAAACTCACTCACTCACTCATTTTGCAGGGACTTCGCATGTGTTTGCTGGACACGTGTTATAACAGTGACGTTGTGGCTCAGCTCACGTGGACATCGATGTGTCTTAGGGTGGTGAGCGAGTGTATACATTTTCACAACATGCAAAACAAAATCTCGTCATTTCTCTTTAACTCTTTACAGATTTTGGGGGGACACGGCGGGGCATTTATTGAAGTGTTTGTACGGTTTCCTTTGGACGTCAGTTCGTAATAAAAATGTTTCAGGATGACACTATTTTGTCCTCTCCCAACCCACCTTCCACCACCTTGAAGCTATCCCTCCTAACCATCCTCACCGTAACTCTATCTCCTTCTAACCACTACCACCCCCACCCCCGTTCCACCTACCTGCCTCTATCTTCCCCTCCTAACCTTCACCACCCTGACGCAATCACTACCCAAGTTCCCACTTTCCACCAACCCCCAGCTATCTTCTCCTCCCACCAACATCTTCACTACCCTTCCGCTATCTTCTCCTCCCAAACCAAGCTACCTCCCACTAATCTGTCGCTATCTTCTTCTTCAACCCACCTTCCACTACCCGGACGCTATCTTCCCATCCAAGACCACCTTCACAACCCTGTTAGTATCTTCTCTTCACAACCCCAACTTCACAACCTCTCTGCTACCTTCTCCTCCTGAACCACCTTCACAACCCTCCGGCTATCTTCCCCTCCTGAACCCACCTTCACAAGCCTCCGGCTATCTTCCCCTTCTGAACCCACCTTCACAACCCTCTGGCTATATTCCCCTTCAGAACCCACCTTCACAACCCTCTGGCCATCTTCCCCTTCTGAACCCACCTTCACAACCCACCGGCTATCTTCCCCTATTGAACCCACCTTCACAACCCTCCGGCTATCTTCACCTCCTGAACCCACCTTCACAACCCTGACGCTATCTTCCCCTCCTGAACCCACCTTCACAACCCTCCGGCTATCTTCCCCTCCTGAACCCACCTTCACAACTCTCCGGCTATCTGCCCCTCCTGAACCCACCTTCACAAACCTGACGCTATCTTCCCCTCCTGAACCCACCTTCACAACTCTCCGGCTATCTTCCCATCCTGAAACCACCTTCACAACCCTGGCGCTATCTTCCCCTCCTGAACCCACCTTCACAACCCTCCGGCTATCTTCCCCCTGAACACACCTTCACAACCCTCCCGCTATCTTCCCTTCCTGAACCCACCTTCACAACCCTCCGGCTATCTTCCCCTCCTGAACACACCTTCACAACCCTCCCGCTATCTTCCCTTCCTGAACCCACCTTCACAACCCTCCGGCTATCTTCCCCTCCTGAACACACCTTCACAACCTCCCGCTATCTTCCCCTCCTGAACACACCTTCACAACCCTCCCGCTATCTTCCCTTCCTGAACCCACCTTCACAACCCTGACGCTATCTTCTCCTCCCAAAGCTAAGACCCGCGAAGATACGGGTTAGAATCGATCTTCAGTAACCCAAGCTTGTCGTAAAAGGCGACTAACGGGTTCCGGGTGGTCAGGCTCGCTGACTTGGTTGACACATGTCATCGTATCCCAAATGCGTAGATCGATGCTCATGCTGTTGATCACTGGATTGTCTGGTCCAGACTCGATTATTTGGAATCGAATATTGCTGAGTGCGGCGTTAAACAACAAACCAACCAACAACCCAAACCTAAGCTACCTCCTATCAATCTGCCGCTACCGTCTCCCTCAACCCACCTTCCACCACCCGGGCGCTATCTTCCCATCCAAGACCACCTTCACAACCCCGCTGCTGTATTCTCCTCCCAACTCCACCTTCTACCACCCCGACACAATCCCGTCCCTTCCCATCCTTCCTTCCTGTGTTGTCCTCTCCCCTCCGCACTGCTGCTCTCTCCTCCCCCACATAACGCTCTGCTAACTATCTCCGCCAGGACTGCCACTGGGAGGGAACCACGGGCTGGAGAGCCAATAGAAGACCACTACAACGAGTCGGAAAGAATTAATGTTCTTAGGCTCACTCAACGGCGGAGGCACTGCACGAGTAATTGTACAAGTTTATTTAGACTCCATCATAATAAGACCAGAAGCAAATGAAGGCAATCTCACCAGTCGCTTGCTCAATAGTGTTGAAATATTCCTGTAATCATTGACCCCAAGCCCCGAGGCGTGAATTGCCCCTGAGGAGGAGCTGATCATCGACAGCGTCACCAACAACATCATCAACACGTGGATGTCCATATCACCCAACAACTCTGGACAGCAGCATGCCGACAGATAGTGTTTCTGTGCATTCATTCGTTCCCAAGGATTCCAGTACAGATCATTCAAAAGGATAGCTTCGGGATATCCCTCTCGGCCATGGCTAACGTAAGCGGCAACCTCAGCGACGGGGACGTCTATGAGGCGTACGACTACTACGACTACGAGTATGACTATGATGCCAGCGTCAACAACCTACCTTTAATAGAGTTTATTCCTTCGGTTCTAGTCTACTCTATAACGCTGCTGGTCGGCGTCGTTGGGAACTCCCTCGTCATTTTCTCCATCTCATACTACGGACGACAAAAAAACGTCACCAACGTTTTTCTTTTAAGTCTGGCGTCGGCGGATTTGTTGCTGGTCACTGTTTGCGTTCCGATTAAGGTAAGATACGAATTTTTTCTCAACACCAATTTACATCCTTCACTTCTCACAATATATATCATTCAAAAGAAGTAGGGATATCCATATTTACTATGTAGCAGAAGTACGTGTAATTCATGTTTCCCAAACTGTTCAGTATATGCCTCAGTGCAACCGGCAGTAAATGGGTACCCGGTAGGATGTGATTGTAAGGTGACGATTAACCTCCTAGCTGCTAACAACACAACTTAAATTGTATACTCCCTATGGAGCTGAGAATAAATTTCCGCTGAACGTTAAGTTAGCACTCTGGGCATGCATGAGTGCATGGAGTTACATAATATGCATTCGCTGCCTGAGACTTTACATGTTGTAGACCAAGAGAAGTAGCATATATGGAGAGCAATGTAATTTTAAATCATGTTAAATCATGTCATTACTTTTAACTTCAAATCAGATAGCATTGGATAAATACAATCATTTATTAAATAAATTTAACAGAGTGTATGGAACTACTACAATGAATTTACACATACACCGTTGTTTTCCTACTTAATCAGTGTCAACAAACATCTGATGCAATCACAACATAGTTAATTGAAGTTATAGACTTGGTGGTAGACATTGTTTTGATGTTTTACGTTTGTTTTGACAAAGTTTATAGCTTATTTATTGTGATGAATGGCTGGTTCAATTTACCGAGGATTTGAATTTCGTTTGGAGTATATATTTTAACTGAACTTAAATTGGTTTAACCGGAGAATGTGTCATGCTGGCCGTATGTCATGTAAACCTCTTTCTTATGCTGAACCCGTGAAGATCCGGGTTAGAAATGATCTTCAGTAACCCATGCTTGTCGTTAGAGGCGACTAACGGGATCGGGTGCTCAGGCTCGTTGACTTGGTTGACACATGTCGTATCCCAATTACGTAGATCGATGCTTATGCTGTTGATCACGGGATTGTCTGGTACAGACCAGAATTATATACAGACCGCCGCCATATAGCCGGAATATAACTCAGTTCGGCGTAAAACTAAATTCACTCACTCATGCTGAGCGGTCGGCATGTCATAACGATATATTTATGGGAAATGGCTGACGGTTCCCTATGCATGCGAATTCACTGTGACTATTAACGAGAACCAGTAAATGTTCAGTGTTGAGGGCATTGTCACACGTGCACATGGGTATTTATAATACAGGTACATGTAATGACATTGACGCTGAGGTAAGACGTTACCGTGGCGCTGAAACATGACGTTACAACGTCACGTCGAGCGAGTTGTGCAAAACATTACAACACAGACACAATGCTCCTAGCATCAAATGAAATATTTTGACAAATATTGAGTCTCTGTGAAGAAAAACATATGACCCACAGAAAACCGGGGAGGAATGAGAAAGAATTTAAAAAAGAATGCTTGTTATATAAGGGGGACTCGTTATTTTATGAATGAATCAGGCGGAGATCTGGTGAAAGTCATTGTGACCCCATTGCGAGTATAGCTGTTCATGAGATCGATCACTGGATTGTCTGGTCCAGACTCGATTATTTGGAGGCCGCTGTTATATGGCTGGAATATTGCGGAGTTCGGCGTTAAACAACAGACTCTCGTGGCATAGTTGAAATATTGTTGCCTGTCTGTAATTCTCAAAATGACACGACACAACAGGAGAAAAATTAAGATTGTGTGATTATTTTTTGTATCTAGCGCACATACACTCTACTGTGCACGAGTGAACCTCGCCTTCATGTGTGTGTGCGTGCGTGCTTGCGTGCATTGTGTGTGTGTGCTTGCGTGCATTGTGTGTGTGTGTGTGTGTGTGTGTGTGTGTGTGTGTGGAGAGAGAGAGAGGGTCTATACTAAACTCATTTCATCGGATGAACAGGCCCTCTGACATATATTGTCATGTCGTGTCCCAGTCGCGTTGATTAATGCTCATGACATCAATCACTAGACCGTCAAGTCCAGCCATGATCATTTACAGGCCGTTGCCAAAGAGCTAGATTATTGACGACTAACTATCTAGTTTTCCTTGAGACCCTTGTATATATTTCAAGGTCTGTGCGCGCGAAAGTAATTGGAGGCGCACCCTGTTTTTATGGCATAGCATAATAACCCAACGATTCATTTCCTCACGGCTAGTTAGAGGGACGTGTCTCTATTGTATAGACACACCAAATAAACCTAACAATGCCTCGGAAGTGATTCGCTCAGGATTGGCATTGCCCTGAGTCCATCCGAGTCTGTTTGATAACTGGATTATATCGCAGAGGGTCCTTCAGCTCTCTTGTTAAGCACAGCGTCTCCGTTTGATCTCCATGGGGTTATCTTCAGCCCAGTTCTCATCCATAGAACTAAGCGATCTACATAGCGAATCTACTCAAACCAAGGCAACAAACACGAGAAAATGGCAATAGTCTAATATTATTTCAGGATCTGCTCGTTTCCTTCTATTTATTTCCCTCACCATCACCAAGAAGTTTTTAACATGGAAGTACTCCTTGCTGCTGAGATGTAACCCTCCGAGCAATACCTGTTTAGATTAACACAGACCTTTCCAATATGTTTTAGTGTAATACTATGGATACGGAATATCTGTTTTCCCAAGTGAAGGTCAAAATCCTTGTGTGTGTAAAAATGAGCCAAGTTGGCTGGTAGTTGGGTACACAGGTTCTCATTAACTCTTTATGTGCACTGGGAAATACCTCGGCTCGAATAACGTCCATTCTTGTTAATGAAATATTAACGCAATAAGGCAGATGTGAAGATGCTGCTACCAGAATGCACCTCAACGCAGCTGCAGACATCAGCCCATCATCTGATTTATCATCCAAAGGATGAAACCCCTTGTCTAAAATACGGGTAATATATGTAACCTTGACCACGATACCTCAATTGCTCGCTGTTGACAAGCCGCTTATTGCATATAATGATTGTAAAAACAATTTCCTTGGAGACACATACCCTGCTAAGTGATATAGGAATCGATATATAAAAACATAAAGCTCAAATTATCTTTGAAAGTCGGTTTGAAATTTCAAAGATCATATGAAGGGTAATGCATAAAAATCATATTAGGGCAAGAAGTCACATGTACCTGCGAAAATTGTACTTTTATTGTAGAGTACGATATCCCCGTGATGTCATTAAAAACAACGAAACGATATGCGAAGAAGACACAAAGAGTAAAAATATACGCGTTGGTTAGTTGCGTTGCCTTGCGGTTAAAGCGTTGATTAGTTGCGCTGAAACTCGGGTTCGATGCTCAATAAATGTATTAAACCCGTCTTCCTGTCGCCTGCCATTCATTATGATGCTGGAATATTGCAAATCTTGAAATTAATGCTAGAGAGAAATGGAATTCATGCGGAAAATGCCATATTCGATACAAGACACACCTACCTCACAACTCATCACAGGAGTTGCAGTTGTAACAAATAAATAATGATAAATCAACACCACCGAGAAATTGGTACTTTACACCATTACATCACAGTTACATCTCTGGTAGACCTTATGGAAGTCATTTCCTCTATGTAAGTTAGCTTCGGTTGGGGGTCTTGGCATTGATATTGAGTTGCATTGTTTTGTTGCTGAAAGTCGGCAGTCTCGCGACGAATTCTCGCAGCATGAACATATGTATATTCACTAGCAAGAGAGTACAAATTGCATTCAATAAAACAGTACATGTTGTAATAAAACAATATTGCATGAATATGCATACACACAAGTGAGTGAGTTTAGTTTTGCACTGCACTCAGCTATATGACGCTGGTTTGTAAATAATTTGAGTCTGGACCAGACAATTCAGTGATCAACAACATGAGCATCGATCTACGCAATTGGGATACGATGACATGTGTTAACCAAGTCAGAGAGCCTGACAACCCGATCCTGTTAGTCGCCTCTTACGATACACACAAATAAGAGAATACACATTGTATTAATTTATGCATAAACATACAAGGATGCACAGATATGTGAATATATACATATACATGTAAGACAATGTTCACCGAATGAATAGACAGAAACACAAAATAGCATGAATATGCATATACACAAGCAAGAGAGTAAACATAGCATGAATATATACTTGTACACACACGAGAGTATACATACATTTACACACTAGATAACACAATAAGGGTGAATTTATCATCCAAAACTGTGTTCCACAGGAGATATTGCTTGTGTGAGATCAAACGATATCTCCTAGGAGATATCGCTTTGACAGTAGATTTTGTACAATGCCCTGACAATGCTATGACGTCATGAACTTGATGACGTCACAATGCTATAACATCACTTCACTGCAAGCCTAATGGCAGTACTGTGTTCAGAGATGTACATTTTTCATTGAAAACTAATGAAGGGTGATTTTGGATGATAAATAGAATCTCACCCTCGTGTCTTCTGATATCAAATATATCAACACTCGTTGATAAAAGTTAAAATATCCTCGGCAAGCCTCGGATATTTGTTACTTTATCAACTCGTGTTGATATAATTGATATCAGAAGACACTCGGGTGAGATTCTCTTTATATATACACAATAAGATATTACACATAGCATGAATGTGTACATACACACGTACACACACATATACATAAGGAAAGCACTACTTTCATACGTATAAATCATTATGTAAAGGCAAAAGAGAAAACTTCACAGAAGTAATATACAGGTACGTGCATATCTGACGTAACATCAACCGTGAAGGTCCGGGTTAGAATATTGATCTTCAGTAACACATGCTTGTCGTAAGAGGCGACTAACGGGATCGGGTGGTCAGGCTCGCTGGCTTTGTTGACAAATGTCATCAGTTCCCAATTGCATAGATCGATGCTCATGCTGTTGATCACGGGATTGTCTGGTCAAGACTCCAAGATTTACAGACCGCCGCCATATAGCTGGAATATTGCTGAGTGAGGCGTAAAACTAAACTCACTCACTCACTCACTCTGACATATGTAACAGTATGAAGCTACTGTTAGATATAGGAACACCGAT